GGGGCGGGGTGGGGGGGGGGTCAGTGGAGAAAGGAAGCACTTCCAGGGAGAAGCTCCTGGCCCCTTGTTTAAATTTAAACCCCCTGAGTGTGGCCTCTGCCCCCACCTCCCAGGAAATTGCTCTCATGAGGGTCACAGGGAGCCTCACCGCTCCTCCTCTTTCCCGGCACATCCCGCAGGCTCCTCAGACAGTATGTCCCAAATTAAACTCAGCAGCTGCCCCAGATCTGCTTTTGTGTCTGTGTCTCAGGGAGTGATCCTGTCAGAAGCCTGGATGTGTCCCTGTCCTTCCTCCTCCTTGCCCGCTGCTGTCCCCCTCCCTCAACTCGCAGGGGGTCTGACTCCTAGGCAGCAGATAGCTCAGACCTGTCCCCTCTCTGCACCCCCTCCACCCCCGCCGTGCAGACTCTCTCCCGGCCTCACGCTCAGCCTCCGCATCGCTTTCCCGCCCGAGCACCGGCGCCCACCCCGCATGTCCTCGACGGGGCAGCGGAGCCCTTGCGCTCAGGCGCCTCACCCAGACCTCCCTGCACGCTTTCCCCAGGTTCCCATGGCACTGAGGAGAAAGCCCGCGGCTCGGGGCGTTGCTCTGTAAGGGTTCGCTCGGCCCAGGCCCTGCCTTCCTCACCAGCTTTCCTTGGACCCCTGTCCCTCTCCACCCGTGAGACCCTGGGTTCCCGCCGTGGGCCGGCCGGGCTGCTGCACCAGCCTGCCCGTGAGAGCTGGGGCAGATGCAGCCGTCCCGGGCTGGCAGCGCAGAGTGGGCCGGATTTCACCCCCCCCACCCCTAACTCAGGCCCCCGGGGCACCCTTCCCGGCTCCAGTCTCCATCCCATGCCACCCTGTCCCGACACAGGCTCCTCCTCATTTTTCAGGCTTTGGGGTGAAGGTGCAATGGAAGGCCCTCCTGAACCACCCCCTGCTCCCCAGCCCCAGTCAAGCCCGCACCACTCTCCGCTCCCCTTAGTGTCAGTGCGTGACCCTGTGACGGCTGCTTTCCTGTGTGCCTTCCCTCCTGGCGGGGAGCCTGTGAGCTGTGAGCACAGGGTTGTCTGTCCCGCTGCCCCTCTGTACCCCCGTGTGGCACAGCAGCTGACTCCGAGGAAGGACAGAGCCTTCCTTTCCAGAGGTTTTCACAGCCCCCAGCATAGGCCGGGCGGCTGTCCCAGCTATACACACAGAAACATCAAAACCAAGAAGAGACGTTTCCCCGACGTCACGGTGAGTGAGCGCAGAGCTGTGGGCCCATCAGGGGCAGGCCTGGGAGCCAGTAAGCTGGCGCTCTAGCCCAAGACGTCTGACCTCAGGGTCACCTCTACCCAGTGAGAGGACTGGACTCGGGATGTCTGAGGCCCTTCTCACAGCTGCTGGAGCAGTAGCCATGGTACTGGGACCACCCTGCCTGTGGTGCCCGGCACCCAGGACCCCCAGAAACACTCACGGCTCTTCTTGGCACCAGAAGCGGTTGACAGCGAAGGCGATTGCAACGAGGACCAGGAAGACGGCCGTGGCGATAAGGCCCTGCATCCAGGGCTGCAGGTTCCCCAGGCCTGCAAAGAGGGGAGCAGGGGGTGCTGTAGTAGCCTGGGCCACAGTGAGGCTGCGGTGCAGAGCAGGGGCCGGAGGGCCTCCCACCCCAAGGGCTGGGGCCTGTGTTAGAGGTCATCAGCCAGCTGCCAGGACCAAAGAAGACATTCTGGGTGGCAGGGGTGGGAAGGAGGACCCATCCTACACGCCACTGAGCTAAAGAAAGGAATGGAGGTTTGGAGGAAGGAAGACAGGATTTCAAAATAGGCATGAGGAGCTAAGGAAGGAACAGGCGCCAGAACACTGTGTCTGAGATCCAGATGGCCCAGAGCCCCCCATCCCCCATCATGGGTCACATGCAGGGCCCCCCAGGGAGTGCCTGGGCCCCAGGGACCAAAGGGCAGCCCTCTGGACAGCCTGCCCAGGGTGGCTCTCTTCCTCCCTGGCTCCCAACAGGCCAAGTCAGCCCAGAGCTGACAGGACTGGGCTGGCATCCGGAAGATCCTGTTCTGTGAGGAGAGAGTTCTCTAGCACTGGGTAGGGCGTGGGAATGAGAGACAGGCCGGCTACTCAGCCAGGAGTGCCGGGGCCCAGAGAGAGGGGTGAGACAGGACATCTTTGGAATGCAAGACAGAAGGGTTCTCCTCTTGGTCTTGGGGGCCAGGAAGGAGGCATCAAAACCTGGCCCCTTTGAGGTCCTTCAGCTACGTGCCCAGGGGGCTGAGCCAGAGACCAAGTCAAGGCCCCATCCATGCACTGCCTCTGCTTTTTACCCTTAAGGGTTAAGTTTAACCCTTGACACCACCTCTAATCCTCAAGTTTTCTCAGAAGTCTCTGCCCTCTGCCACTGGCAGCCCCATAGGTCTCTTACCTCCCTGGGCATCAGTGTACTCCATGAGCCTGAGAGAGCTCAGCCCCACAGAGCACATGCACATAGCAGCAGGTGGAGAGGTCTCAGGAGGGGACAGAAGCTGACAGGAGGCTTCAGAGGGGCTCTGCCTCCAGCCCAAAACACTTGCATCCTAGTGCCACTCTGTACTTTGAGGGGCCAGGCTGGGCATCAAAAATCTCATTCTGCCTCACTCTCACTCAAGAAGCCCTTCCTTGAGTCTACTCTGAAACCCTCCTGCGGTAGTGAAGGCCCTGCCTCTTCTCTGAGCTCCCTCTGAGCCTGGCAGGTAGTAGGAAGGGGTTTGGGGTCTCAGAACTCAGCCTGTGGCCAGGTCAGATCTTGCTTCTCTCCTTGGGGAACAGAAGCTTCACAGTGTGGTTCTCCTGAGTTTCATACTTGCCAAAAAGCAATGTTTTGGACTCATTGTTTCCTCAGGTTAGTGGTTGCTCAAGGATTGGAGTTAGGGCTTGAGCCCTGGGAGGCCCCTCCTTGCTTCCTCTGAACTCTGCAGCCAACCCCCTCCAGACACACCATGTGGCTCTGGGATGAGACACAGAGCAAGGGGCAGAGCCTGGGGTAGGAGAGAAGTGATCTGAGCCCTGTCCCTATTACTCTGCTGTGTGACCCACACAAGTTACTCAACCCCTCTGATCTTCAGTTTCCAAGAAGGCTTCCAAGAGATAGAGTTGAAACAGGCACATATGAGAGCTCAGGACACCTGCCAAGGAGGGGTGATCTGGAAGCATCTTTGTCGGCCCCCTCTGGACCCAAATCCCGCCTGCAGAGTCCCCAGACTTTGGCTGCAGATGTGGTCTCACTGGGCAGGGGAGACACCTGATCTTGGGGTGTGGTACCTCATGGGTGCCCAGCCCTTCCACACCCCTGGCATGGCAGCCACCCTGGGAGGCAGGCAGGGTGCGTTTATTGTCCTCATTTTATGAGTGAGAAGCTGAGTCTCAGAGAAGGGCAGTGATTTGTTCCAGGCCACACAATACAAAGGCAGAACTGGACAAAGAGCTTGGGTATGTGGTGGGGCCACACTGGGGCACTGTCCCCTACCAAAGCCCAGGAAACTGACACAACGAGGACTGAGGACAAAGCCATGGGCAAACCAGTGACAGCCCTGTCCCTCCCCTGACACAAGTGTCTGGACCCCACCATCACCCTCATTGTAGCCTCAACCCCTGTTCTCGAGACCCAGCTATCTCCAGGGAAATCCCTGCTCCTAGAGCTTGGGTCTCACCTCCTCTCCCCAGTCTTAGACCCAGCATTGCCCCTATTGCCTGTGTTCTCACTCCTGGAAAACAAGGCACAGGCACAAGCCTGTTTCCCAGCGAGGTTCCGCCACCACTCCAGTCTCTGCTGGAGGCCAGAAGACACCCGGCATCCTTACCTGGGTTGCCAGCACCCAGTCCAGCCCTCCGCACCTCAGCCACCTGCCGGCCCAGTCCTATGCTCACCTTGCTGACAGCTGGCGGGTGGCACTGCCGTAAGCAGGCCCAGAATGACCAGGCCGAGGGCTGACATGGCTGCAGACAGCTCCGGGCCTTCCCTCCAGCTGCTGGTATCTGGGCTGTGGGGTCTGGGTGTGTGCTGAGATCAGCCCGAGCTCCGAGCTCCGTCTGGCCCTGGAGGAGAGGAGCTAGTAGGGAAGAAGGCGAGGGAGGAAGGAGGGGGAAAGGTAGGAAGAAGCTGCCCTCCCTCCCATGGTAATGAGCTGCCAGGCCCGGCCTCCCTGGCCGGTGCCCAGCCCACTGGCGCTGGCATTTGAGGTCACCTTTCAGAGTCTGGCTAAGGAAGTGGGTCTGCAGACCAAGGGGATGTGGGGAAAGTCAGGACCTCACCTCCAAGCCCAAGGCTTCCGCAGAGTTTTTATATCAGTTCCCCCTTCCTGGCAGTGGGGCTGAGCCCTCCGAAGAAAGTGACACAATATTGCTTCTCCCTTGAATGAGCCCGGGGGGTGGGGCCTCTTGGAAGTCAGACAGAGGATTAAGAAATTTGCTGGCTGGCTTGGGGAGAGTAGGGTAAACCCCAGAGGTTAGGGAAAGGTCAAAGTTGCCCCCTCCCACAGAACCTGGCCTATTTCCTGTTCTCTCACCTGTCCTTATTTAGCCAAGACCCAGTCCTGGGTCACAGTCCTGGGACCAGCCCTGGCTTCTGTCCCTCTACCCAGCCCAGCTCAGTAGCTCTCTAAATCCACCCTCTCCCATGGGGGTCACCACAGAGGGCCTCAGGTTCCCAGTCCCCAGCCTTTCCTACCCAGCCCAGCTGACTTGGCTCAGTTTAACTCTTCCTCTTGGCTCCAGATGTGGTTCCTGGAATCTGGGTGGAGCATCCCTGGGACGAGATCTGGGCTTGGTCAGAAGACTCTGTGCATACCTCTGATCCACCTCCACCCATCACAGGGCAACAAGAGGGAAAACACAGCCTTGCTGTGGAGGGCAAGGGACGGACACTCTCAGGTGTCAAGGTCCAACCTGGGGCTCTGAACTCCTGGGCTCAGGATCACATGGAGTCCGTTGGGCCTTCCAGCCCAGGAACGAGAATGACCCAAGTAGCTGTCGAGGCCTGGAGCCAAGGGTTATGCTGGGTCTCCTTGCCCCACCGCTCCCCAGGAGCATGGGAAGCCAGAGATGCTGAGAGTCCAGCTCCATAGACACCAAGAAAGAAGGAGCCAGCAGACAGAGCAAAGTCTCAGAGATGGAGGGTCCCCAAAAGCCAGGGGGAGAGCTAGAAGCCCCCCCTAACAGTTTCCTGGCCAGAAGCCACCAAACTGCTGTTCACAGGATCTCCTGGGCAGCTCTCTCTACTGCAGGACAGGTCTTCCAGGGGCAACACTCAGACATCATGCCTCACCCCTGCTTCCCATATGTGTGTGGGTGTGGGTGTGCACATGGCAGAGCAGTGGGCCCATTTCCGTCCAAATATGGGGTGTCTCAGGAGATCCAGGGAAACTTGGCTTGGAGTCGAGGGGCACCTCCCATACATGCATGTCCTGTTCTTCCTCCGTATCCCAACGTGGTATCTTCAGAATCTTCTGGCACAAAGTTTGTCTAGAGCAGGCACCACGCATGTTAATGAACAGCCACAGGATCACTGGCTGGAATGCAAGGAATGGGGTTGAATTTAACAAACATCCACAATGCCTTCTTCAAGGGCTTTAAGCAGGGGAGTCACATCAGGTTTTCCGGACAGAGAGTGGAGCATGAATGAAACGGGAATGCAAAAACTGGAGAGAAGGAGGCCAT